CTGCAACCCCAAACTTTCCCTCTCTAAAACCTTCACTTTCTCTCTTAACATCAACAATGGCACGAACCAAGAAAACCACAAGAAAATCCACCGGTGGAAAGGCCCCAAGGAAGCAACTCGCCACCAAGGCAGCCCGTAAGTCAGCCCCAACCACCGGTGGAGTGAAGAAGCCTCACCGTTTCAGACCTGGAGCCGTTGCGCTTTGTGAGATCACGGAGTGAAGAGCACTGAGCTTCTCATCAGGAAGCTTCCATTCCAGAGGCTTGTCAGAGAAATTGCTTAGGATTGCAAGACTGATCTTCGTTTCCAGAGCTCTGTTGTTGCCTCTCTTCAGGAGGCTGCTGAGGCGTATTTGGTTGGTCTGTTTGAGGATACTAACCTTTGTGCGATTCACGCTAAGAGGGTTACTATTATGCTTAAGGGTATTCAGCTTGCCCGAAGGATTCGTGGTGAGAGGGATTAATTGGGGGTTTTGATTGAATTTGAATTTCTAGGGTTAGTGTTTTGTGATAATGGTAATAGTAGTTTGATGATGTTTCAGTTGATAAATCTGAAATCTAATCTGGGTAGTAGTGATAGTAGTTTCATTATGTATTGGTATATGTATTGTGAATTTTAATCAATAAAAATGGTGACTTTTTTTAATTGCTTGTTGATATTACTCTAATTTTAATGCTATTTATCTGCTGGATTTGTGGTAGTGTTATGAAATAATTGTGGCTAAAGAATGGTTTAATTTGTATATTATGGAATAATGTTTTAATTGTTTGTTTTCTTCCTGTATTTGGGATTGATTGAAATTGGGCTTATTTGAGGTTTGGTTAAAACTTGGTCATGATAATATTGGATTTTATTGTGAATTGGTCTAATTTCTTCTTAGGCAAATGGGTCTTTCGAATTTTCAAATTATTAATTGTTAACAATCGAATGATATTGTAACTTGGTCAAATTTTAAATTGAATGGTGTGGTATAAATGTGAATTGTGATTGACTGATTGGAAATTGTAACTCCATAGTATTGATAGTCTAGGAGATTTGTAATTGTACTTTTGAGAATTTGATTCAACCCGAAACGTGAGCATTGAAGAGAGATTAAAGTACAATGATTATGAGGAAGAGGAAGATGATAATGTGCTAGACGCCTAGACTACATATGTTCAGTTACCATATCAAATTCTACACTAAGCTCAGATGTAACCAGACGATTACAAGAGCTATTTGATATAAACCGTTGTATAAACCTAAGTTGTTTAATTAGATCTACATTTAGTAATGTTTATTGCATTTATTTTAAAATTTATATTTATTGTTACCTTTGTTAAATTAAAGTATATATATAAATATATAATAATACTAGTATGTTACATTTGATATTAATTAAAATAAATAAGTAATCTAAAACGATATTAATAATGCCGTTGGACTAGATCTAGGTGATATAAACCTTTGTATAAACCTAAGCCGTTTGATTAGATCTACATTTATTAACATTAATTGTATTTACTATTTAACCATTCAGGTTGTAAATAATTCAATTTGAATTAAGCAATTTGTAATCGGATCAGTTTAAACAGGTTGCGATTCGAAAACAGTTCGATTTTAACGGTTTAACGGGTTATGGCAGTTCAGTTTAGACGGTTAGCGGATTATAACGGTTCGGTTTATACAGTTTTTCCTGCGGTTTAAACGGTTTCGGTTCATAAACGGGTCGGTTTAAACGGTTAGCGGGTTACAAATGGTTCGGTTTAAACGGTTTTTTTTTACGGTTTAAAAGGTTTTGGTTTATAAACGGTTCGGGTCATTAACGGGTTTATAAACCATTCGGTTCGGTTTCGTTTCGGTTCGAATTTGAGCAGTTTGGTTTGTTATCGGTTTACGGTCCGTAACGGGTTGACATTGAGCGGTTCGATTCGGTTTCGGTTTGATATTGAACGGTTCAGTTCGGTTTTTGATTTAAATTTATCGGTTTATAAATGGATCGGTCCGTGATGGTTCGGTTCGGTAACGGGCGGTTTCACGGTTCGGTTTGAAAAGTCGCACCCCTTGTCGCCACACAATAGCTCCCAAGGTCCAGGGTTCGATTCCTGGCAGCAGTAATAAGCTTTCCCCCTTATCCCCCTCCTTTTTGGACTTTTTACTTTGTATTTTGTGATTCTTCAAGACCTTAGATGCTTTATTAAAATTATGTTTTACATGCTTTATCTTTTTTTAAATAGCGGTTTGTTTTGCTGTTTTTACTTACCATAAATTATTTTTTTAAAGATTTTTTTTATATTACTCTAATTAATACTAAATTTCCACAAAGGGGGTATTATTTTACATTGATATACAAAGTTATGCATGTCATATTTTTAAAAGTAAATTTTGTAACAAGGTGTTTCGAAAAAAATTCAATTTTACCAAATTAAAACAAAAATTAACAAATACGTACTAATTTAAACTTAATTAACGTAACATTAAACTTTATTAACCGTTACCTTCATCCCATTCGTCAATTTGGACGGTTACTTTTTCACAAAAATCCCTCATCAACCACTCACACGTGAGGGGGGATAAAAATATCCAAACAAATGGTCCCCCTTTTCAACACTTTTTTTATTCACTTTCAAACCCTATCCCTTTCACGCCAACACCAAATCAACTCTCCTCTCATACTTCCTTTGTCATTTGGTATGGCCGTATGGGACTTCTTATCTAACATTATTAACTATGTGGTAGGCAGCTAGGCTTTTAAATGTATTGTTTTGTGATTGTGACACTTTAAATGGATATGTTTGTAATTTGGGATTTAGAACCTATCTTTAGTTTTCAAAACTGTTGTAGGACCATTACTAACTTGTTGTTTTCATATGTCGGCTATTATTTCTTAAATGATTGAAGTCTGTTTGTACTTAGTATATCATTAGTTTATCTCTAATTTAAGTTAGTAATTAGTTTGGGCAAAACATTGTCATTGTACTAGTTTACCATGTCCCTTATAATATAATAAATAAAAGTGAAAAAACACATAAAATACAAATATTAGGAGGAGTTCACATTTTCATAACATAAACATAACAAGACATAACCAACAAGTACCTTAAACATTATACTTACTTTTTCACACTTACAAAGATAGCACCTAATTGATAGCACTCAATTGAGTTGGGCCGACCCAACTATAAAACTTTAACCTCTATTCCCACTAACAATCACATTACTTATATAAGTGATTGACTAGTACCATTAAAAACACAAACCCCTTACTAAAGGACAATAACGTTCACTACATACTCCCCATCACACACTAAAATAACACAACAAAAGTCAGTAGTTACACAAGCTTAAAATTAGGTACTCAATTGGGGATACAACAACATATTAATATTTTCCAATATCAAACTAACAGACCCAATCTATAGGGATCAATACTTAAGTGTCCTTCGACACCTAAGCCACGATTTCATCACCATTTTCAATCTTTGCTTCTCCGATTGTTTCAATAGTTCCCAGAGTTCTCCTTTCATGGAGGAATACCACCTTACTAGGATTACATATTCTTCCTTTTTTTTTTTCCTTCTATTTTGGCTTATTAGGGTCATGTTCTCATTGACTGAACTTATTAGTTAGTAATTTATAATATACGGATTAGTGATCCCATATCTTATGTAATTAAGCATAAGTGTATATACAACTACACAAATATGCATATTCATTTTTAAAAAAGAGTTAATATTATTATTATTATTATTATTATTATTATTATTATTATTATTATTATTATTAGGCTAAATTAGAAAAAAACACCTGTTAAAAGACCTAATTTTGTTTTTAACACCTTAAGATTTCGAAGTTTAATTATAACACCTGTTAAAAAATAAAAATTTTGCTTTCACCACCTAAATTGGAACAACGTTAGAGGATCTGTTAGCTGGGCCCACAATAACGGCTATTTTTTCCAAACTGCTTTATATAGTTACGACATCCTTCACTAATGTAGAATTGTTGAGCTGATTACACAAAATTGCTTCACATTTTGCGAATTCTGACTAACAAATTGGCGAAATTGTTTGATTTTACCATCATTGTTTGGGGGACGTAGATATCAAATCAGGTAATTGCGTCAATAGCACTTTAGAAACCCTAATTTATCTTTCAAAAATAAGGCGTAAATTAATCTATATGTTGTTGACTTAAATGCATAATTCAGGTCGTATCTGGCAATAGTCACGTAATTCGTAAATAGTTAGGGTTCATTGTGTGTTAATTGTGCTGTAATTTGCGAGAAAATGAAATTAGGGTTCATTGTAGAAATAATTTGGGGGTTTTGATTTGTAGGAGTGACTGTTTAATTCCCTTGGTTCAATTGTATTTTTTTCATAGTACGAATGGTTTTGCTTATTATGGATGGAAAATTGGTGCAGGAAATGTCTTCTACAAGTTTCTCACCTTCAAAGGAGTAGAAGTGCAAATGTGGTGTTCCCTTTGCAAAGCTTACCAGTTGGACAAGGGAGAACCCTGGTCGTAAGTTCAGAACATGCAAGTTCTACGATCCTGTAACTGAGAGCAGAGGTTGTAAAGCATTTGAATGGGTGGATGAACAAGATGGGACAGCCTGGCAAACAGAGGTGATCAACAATTTGTTGGTAGATAAGAAACTGTTGAAGGGGGAAATTAGTGATTACAAGAGGGAAGTTGATGATCTTGGTGGACAGTTGAGGTGTTTGCTGAATGAAGTGGACAGGCTGAAAATGAAATGCAAGGCTTTAAACTCTGACAGGAACAAGATGAACAGAGAGATGCATGGAAGGAATGCTAGATCAGATCACTCTGTTCTTAGTCTTGCTGTTGGGATTAGTTTGGTCATATTAGTGATCCTTCTTATTAGGGGGTTTGTAATGCATTAAGTATAACTTGTAATGCTAGTAATTGCATGAAACAGTAATATGGTAATGTAATGATTTATAAGTGGCAGTGAACCACTATTGCAAGCAAACTAATGTACACAATTATGAAAGCAATGAATTAAGTAAGTACCTAAGTAGTTGATATTGCATTTAAGTTGTTGATCAAATTTGTTGTTGCAGTGCCTAACAAAATTGGCTGGTAAAGCCTTAAAGCAAAGTATTAATTTAACAAAACAGGATCCTTGTCCTAAACCCAAAAGTAAAGCTACAAATATTGCAACTGATTGTTCAGAAAATACAACCAACAACTAAAGTTCAGAAAAACAATTCAAACATCATTGTGTCAGCCCTCCTTGTCTGGAAGTCAGCAGCTTAGCCCTCCTTGTCTGCACTCCAGTAGCATTGGGTTCAGGTTGGCTGGAAGAGGGGGTGGTGTGATGCTTGGCTTGTGGCTGCCCTTGTTGACTGTGTGAACCTTTCCTCTTACTCAATGGTTCACAGCCAGGTTGCTCTTGGGGAAAAGTCCTATTCCCAATGTTGTTTGGACCAGCCCCTATTGCACTCTGTTTATTAAACACAAATACCAATAAACAAGTATCAACATCCAATTTCATCACAAATTTTAAAAGAAAAGTTACAAATCCAACATCATACCTTCTTAGCAGCTTTGATCTCCCTCTTCTTCCTTTGCTCAACTACCCAAGGTGAATTTAAAGGAGGCCTTCCTGCAGTTCTCTGCTCAGTTGGTTCAGGTTCATGTGGGCCCTTGCAAGTCTTGGGATAGTGGCCAAATCCACCACAAATCCTACACTGACTTTTCCTCCTCTTTCTTCCCTGCTCCCCTCCTGTTGCAGATGTTCCCTCCCCAGGTTCCAGCTTCCTCTTCTTCTGTTTAGGTCTTCCAGGCTGCTGTTTGAATGCTGGTGGATGAGGCTCTCTCATGTTCACTCTCTCCCAATGCTTTGGGCCTGGCATAGGTTGAATTGCAGGCTCATATGTTGCTCTGTAAGTGTCCATAGTGTAATAGGGGTGGACAAACTGCTCAGCATCAACCCTCTGATCCATTATGCATGCAAATGCATGAATACATGGGATGCCTGTTAATTGCCAGTGATTGCAGGAACAAGACCAATTTGGTAAGTCAACTAGAACCTGGTCATCATTCAGCTGCACTTCATAAGTGTCATCCCTGGCAGCTTCAATTATGCAATTCCTAGCCACATAGCTCATCCTCTGAAATAGCTTATGCACATATGGAGTGATGTTGGTTGTGATTTCCTTGGAGTCCTCCCACTTCTCATTATTTCTCCTCATCATGTACCTCCTCATCCATTCCATTTGGGTGAGGATAGGTTTGTCTCTTGCATCTCTGATAACAGAGTTGAAAGTCTCACACATGTTGTTTAGTAACATGTTGGACCTGCAACTGTCACTGAATGCATGTCTGCACCAGTGATGAGTGGGGATGTTCTCCAAATAATTGTAAGCATCCTCATCAAGCTCCCTAATCTGTTGCATGGCTATCTGAAACTCAACCTACAACCACAACAGGAACATTATCATGAAAGAATAACACACACAACTGTTGTTGCTCTTATTTTGCTTTTATACACAAAAGGAACATTATTACATGAAGTAGGTACATGAACAGGAACAATATCATGCATTTACTTATTCAAAATAATTTAAGGTCACCTAGAGACTTACAAATGTTGTTGCTCTTGCAGCACTCCAAAAGAGCTCTTTGAAAACTGATCCAGTGAACTTCAACTTGAAATTTGCCCAAATGTGCCTAACACAGAACCTAGTCTCTGCATTAGGCACAACTTCAGACAGAGCTTCAACCAGTCCCTGTTTAACATCATCAATAATTACTTGTCACACTTCAAACAATAAAGAACAGGACTGAAAATAAGACTACAATAATCAAAACAATATTACCTTCTGCATGTCTGACATGAAGGTGAAGCCTGCCCCATCTGCACTTCCAATGCATTGCATCAAGGATTCCAGAAACCAGACCCAAGTCTCCCTGTTTTCAACCTCACAAGTTGCCCAAGCAATGGGGTAAATGCTGTTGTTCCCATCCTTGGAGACTGCAACTAAAATCTGGCCTGGATAACCTCCTTTCAAGTGGCAGCCATCCACCCCTATAATTGGCCTACAACCCTTCAAGAACCCATCCTTCAAAGGCCTTAAACAAATAAACCTCCTCATAAACAAGGGAGGCTCAGGCTTTTCAATGCCATCAATCACAACATTACAACCAGACCCAGGGTTGTATTTCATTACAGCCTTCCCATAATCCCATACCCTAGCATATTGCTCTCTTGCTGAACCAAAAATGATCAACTTAGCTCTACATCTTGCCATCCAAGCCCTGTAGTAGGTCACTTCTACCCCCAAGTCATGAAGCACCCTATCCTTGATTTGCTTAACCTTCCATGATGGGTTAGTTCTGAACTCCTCAAGATACCTCTCAGCAATGAACTCTGCTGTGACCTTCTTGTTCTCCCTGCTTCTCACACATTTATGCTCCAACTTCATGGTTTTTATTTGCCAAGTCTGTTGTCTTTTTAACTTAGTAGCATGGATCTTGAAACTACACTTCACTCCACCCCTGCATATACACAAAGGCATCCTACTTGTCTTTGTGTCAAACTTGCACCCACACCTATTCCTACACTGAATAGTAATCCTAATACTATCATTGTGTAAAAAATAGTACTCATACCTATTCTGTATGGCATGCACTCTTAAAGCTTTCCTCAACACTGTAGCATTGCTAAACCTAAGCCTATGAACAAGTACAACATGCTTTGAGAAGTCAGATTTGTCATTAAACCATGGACTTTTGTCCTCTTCATCAGATGAACCATCCAAGCTCCTTAGGTCATCTGATTCTCCCTCAATTTCTTCTTGTAGTTGTACCTCATTCACATCCAAGTTATCTGTCAACCTTGCCTTTGGATCCTTGGAAACCCCCTCATCATGTACATCAAACTGCTTCCCAAGACTTCTTGTTACCTTAGCTAAAATTACTTCAGAATTCTGCACAAACCACCTCTCATCCCCACTGTCATACTCCTCCTCTCCAGGCTCCCAAGTTATGTCAATCTCACTCCCATCACTTGAAGAAAAATCATCTTCCCTCCCAGTCTCACTGCCCTCACTACTATCCTCAAAAATCAATCCTTTGCCTACAGATTTTTTTTTCCCTTTCCCTTATCCAACACCTTCACACTGCCAGAACCCCTTTCAAGCTTAGCTTTACCCTTTTGTTTCCCCTTACTCAACAACTTCCCTTTACCAGGAACCCCCTTAATCTCAGCAGAAACCCCTTCAACCCTTTCTATCCCCTGTCTAGATCTAGGTTTAGGAGATTATTCACCCTCCCTCACCTTAGGCTCATTTTTGTTAATTCTTGGGCTCTTCCTAACTACAGCAGGCTTACCTGAACTTTTCTTCCCCTTTCTCTCAGCCTTTACTGGAGTGGACTGGGCCTGGATCTCATGTATGGGCCTTAATGTTTCATTAGCAGTCACAAATACTTCAACATACCCTTCCCCATTCACTGTCTCCAGCAGCCCCTTCACTTCCTCTTCATTTACTAACTCCCTTCTCCCTGTGTTAAAGGTCCTACCTCTTTCTTTATACCAAAGTCTGTAGTTAGGTGGGACATGGACATTAAAGTTCACAAACCCATGCACAGCAGCTACCCTCAAATAATGCAAATCTATCTTATCCACTACCACATCCCTCCTCCAATAACATAACCCACCACACCAACAAAGCAAATGCTTTGATTTTGACACTTGTTTAGTAACAAAAGCACCCCTACTCTAAATACTATATCAATTAATCCATCTTCGTTGTCGGCCATTTTTCTACCTAATAAACAAATGCAAAGCAAATCAATAAAACCCAACATAGCTAACCCCATTACACAGTCAACCGCAATACTTTAATCAACAAAATCAAACATATTTAAACCAACACAATGAAAAACCAGTCAACAGTCAATAAAATCAATGATTTAAACTAAATAATTCACACATTACACCAAATCATACTTAATTTAATCAAATTCAACTTTAATTACAAATTAACCCATTTTACTGTTCTTAGGGTTCCTATTTTTTTTTCCCAAATTACCCTACTACACCCACACAAATGGCATAATGCAGCACACAGTACTTGTTGAAAACTACTTTAAAGGGTTCGAAAGGTACCTGTATTGGAATCTTACTCCTGTTGCTGTCAGAATCCACGAAAAAGTCCAAGCTTTTTGGATGTTGGAAATGGCTGACGGAATCTCGCTGACTTGTTTCGCTCCAATATTGACACCTCCTCTTCCAACTCAATTTCTCAATCACAACAATCAGTATAGGGTTTGAATGTTCGCAGTAATTTTGGTTGTTCAAGATTTGCAGACGAAATTCAATGAAGCAAAATTAGTTGGGTGGTAATAAATGACAGAGAAGATAAATTCGAATTGAAGGGGATGGAATTTGGAGGGTAAACGACTATGTGGGCCCCACCAAAAAATTTCGTCACAGTTTCTGTTATCTGGTGGTGAAAGCAAAATTTTTATTTTTTAACAGGTGTTATAATTAAACTTCGAAATCTTAAGGTGTTAAAAACAAAATTAGGTCTTTTAACAGGTGTTATTTTCTAATTTAGCCTTATTATTATTATTATTATTATTATTATTATTATTATTATTATTATTATCTTTATTATTATTATTATTATTAACCACATACCAATCTGTCAATTTTTCCAAGGTTTAAGGCCAAAATATAACAATTTGCAATTGTGGTGTACGATGTATTAGGGTTTATCACATTAGGGTTGGGCAAAGCTAGTTTTATTACACGACGTGTATACTTGAATATCAAAAGCAAATGGAAACAATAGGATTTATTTGCATGGTGTCTTATTTCCCGCGCATAAGACAATGCAATTTACTAAATCAACACTGCACACAATACCTTTCGAAGCCGTAACCCTACCCTACTATTATAGGGTTCTCATGGATATTATCATAAATGGATTCCCAAAGAGATTTACTGTCTAACCCATAAAGATTGTTCACTTATTTCGTGAGTGTTACTTTTCCTCTTGTCTCATATTGATTTACTTAAGATCCAGTAGAACATATAGTGCGTACGGTTCCTCAAAAGCAAAAAGATTAGTGGACATATTATGTAGAGTAGTTCGCATGATCGGCTTGGGTCTAATATAATCAGGTCGGGTCATGTAAATTTCCAAAAAGGCCGGGTCGGGTGTTCATTTGAAATCAGGTCGGGTGTTCATTTGACACCAGGTCGGGTGTCCACTAAAAAAGCTCTTTCCGAAAAAAGCTCAAGGAGCTTTTTCAATTAGCTTATTCATTAATTATTACGAAATGACACTTATAACCTCAATTAATTTAAAATCCTATCTAAACTACTTACACCACAATTAGCTTATTGGTCATTCACATACTAAATCGTCTTTAAGTTATCAGTTAATTACCAAACACTTTTATAAAATCAGTTAATTCAATAAGTTAGTCAAATCAGTTAATAAAATCAGCTAGTCAAAATCAGCTAACACAATCAGCTTCAGCTTTCACCTTTCACCTTTCTCCTAAATAGGGACTGACTTTTTGAACAAAAACAAAATAAAATATTATGTCCGTCCTATTAAACAAGGGTGCCTTTTTATAATGTGCTCCTTTGAACTTATACTCATGCCATTTATTAGTACAATTAAAGGAAATTAGTACGTTAATAAGTCAGATATTAGTTGTCGTTAAATCCACCCTTATCCTAAAATTGCCACATATGAAAGCCACTTACGTTAAGAACAGATTATTACCTACTTTTATTTCCAATAATCTTATCTTATGAACTTAAATTTATCCATTTAGTTAAGTTTTATCCAATTACAAAATTGTAAGGCTAATAGGAGTATTGGAACTCATGGTTATCCACAATATATACCCAAGGATGTTTAATCCATCTACTGACACAATGACATCCTGTCCAATTGTTACCACATCCCATAACTCTAGGTGTATGAAGCTATGACATGCTTTATAATTATAGAAGTGACAACACATTATAATAAGCTTCAATACTACATGATGGAAGTAAGGCTACGGGAGCTAGTAGTCCAAATCAAATATTTCCCTCATTTCATGTTGTCATATTTTATTTGATTGACATTTTAAGCCCATATAGCTCCACTTGTAACTATGGCTAATCATTTTAAGATAAGTTATAATAATGGAGCAAACAAATAAAATAACATTTAATTAGTCATGTAATATAGAATAAACCATATAATTAGTCATATAAATGAGTTAAAGTTAAAAATATTCACCTGCTTGTTGTGGATAGGAAATTTGATCAGCTGGTCATTGCTGGTGTGTCTTTTAGTATATAGTTATTGATAATCATTCAACACTTACAATCATCCCTTAAGAAATTTAAATTTTCAAACAAGTATTAACACCCCTAAACTAATGACATGGCTTAATTACCGGTGAATTGAATTAACAACAAGCTTATTTTTTAAGTAAAACATAGCTAATTATCAAATTCATTACAAATTAAATAGCATGTTATACCATTATCAAAAATTTATCCCTAATTGTTAAATCAGAGACAAATTCACTACTAAAATTCGGCTAAATTGCGACCGTTTTTCTACGACCGTCTGAAAAACGGTCGCAAAATATGAAATTTGCGACCGTTTTTTATGCGGTCGCAAAATTACAACTGCTTTGACAACGGTCGCAAATTTGCGACCGTTTTGCGACCGTTTTCAGCTTTTAAGACGGTCGCTAGGATGTTTTAACAATTAAAAATATTTCTAAATTAAAATAAATCGTTTGCGACCGTCAAAAACGGTCGTAAATGTCATAATCTGCGACCGTCCAAGAGACGGTCGTAAATGTCCTAATCTGCGACCTCAAAGACGGTCGTAAATGGCATAATCTGCGACCGTCCAAGAGACGGTCGTAAATGTCATAATCTGCGACCGTTTAAGAGACGGTCGTAAATGTCATAATCTACGACCGTCCAAGAGACGATCGTAAATGTCCTAATCTGCGACCGTCAAAGAGACGGTCGTAAATGTCATAATTTGCGACCGTCAAGACAGTCGTAAAAAGCTTTTTTTTTAATAAAAAAATATTCAGGTATAAATACTCACCCATCTCACCTCAACCCTAATTTACTAACCCTAACAGCCGCCCCTCATTTTCACGCCTCTTACTTCTCATTTTCTCTCTCCTCTCATTTTCACGCCTCTCTCCTCTTTTCTCTTCTTCTTTCCCTAACCTTTCCCCTTCTCTTTCCTCTTTTCCCTGATCTATTTCCTCTTCTTCTGCTCCTCCCTCCGTCTAGTGATGTGTCTATTTTATATAGTATTTTACCCCCATCCCTTGGTCATAATTAGTAGTGTTTTTGGCTCTTTAGAGCCGATTTTATTACTAATTGGTGTTTTCTAGTGTATTCGTAGATTTGGTTGACTTTTGTAGGGATTTACACTTTTGGAGTATTTTCCCGAGATATTTTGGAGCAATCACGAACATTAGAGAAGCACGACCAGATTTTATAGCCCAGGGCCGGTTAGAGCCATCGAACCGGTGATTAAGGGCTCGGTATAGGTGATACCGGGGCATTTGGACCGAGTATTAAAGATCGGAAGAGGAAACCCATATAGGCCCGAAGAATTGGAGCCCAATCGTAGTCCAAATAGTGGCCCAAGACAGCCGCCCGGCCAAAGAGGCTGGCGCCCAGTGGCGTGCCCGGCCGGGCGGGAGAAGCGAAGGTCAGCGCCCGGTGACCCGCCCGGCCGGGCGCGAGATTCAACCTGAAGAGCAAAAAAGCGCGCCCGATCGGGCGCGTGTAAATATTAGGGGTTAATTTCGTCGTTTAAGTTTGTTTTAGTTTAGGATTTGTACGGAGTATAAATAATCCTCCGTAATATGATTTTAGGATCTCTCTCTCTCTCTCTCTCTTTCACTCTTTCTTTACTCTCTTAATTGTTTTCTTAGATTTTCTTTCTCTAAAACCTTTGTTCTTAATCTACTCTTAATTCCAGATTTATTTTGGTAACGATTTCTCTTTTCTTAATCTTAGTTGTTTATTTTATTCCTTTAATCATGTCTTGCTTTATTGCTTTGATCAGTTTAGTTTCTATTATGTGTGAGTAGTTTTCTTTCTAGGGTTTATGGGGATCCATAAATAATATGAAGGGGTAATTTATTGTTGTTGATTGTCAATGTTAGATTAATTTCCTATTGATTGATTTAATGCTCTGTGACTAGATTAGGTCTGATCTTTTATGCATTGAGTTTGACAATATTGATTCGAGATTCGACAGATGAGAATTGATGTTTAGATCTAGTTTTAATAGGAAGGTTAATTTATAAATGGTTAAGTCGAGATTCGAAAGATAAGATTTAATACCGGTAAATTAATTGTGTGATTGTAATACGTAGCGAAAGCCCTTTATGATCTTTAATTATGCATTGATGAATGATTATTATATTCAACCCTGGAATATTATTTATTGGTGAACCTATGCCCTAAATCCTTTTATATATTATTTTCTCCTTATTCTTGATCTCCGTAGTTTAGTTTATTATTCAAATATTAATTTTGGTTACCTAATAATCTAGATTATATTAGTTAATTAGGAATAGAAAGACTCGTTTCTCTGTGGATTCGGCCCTACTTCCCTATCTACATTAGTTAGAGGATTTAGGTATTACTTTTGATTTGGGGATACGACTTAACTCTGTCATCTAGGCAATAAAAAGCCTTATTCAACGAGAAACAAACGAATTATGGTGTTAATGGTCAAATTCGACCATAAAAAATTCAGATCTGGAGTTTTTGTGGTCGAATTCCACCATATGAAACATTAGAGGAAAAAATATTGACAAAGGTGGGTTTAATTTATGTTTGTTTTCGATTATGAGGGTATTATTTCATTTTTGTTCGAATTTTTGTTCGAATTTGTTGGTTTAATTGTTGTGGGTTTTTTTTTTGGGGTTTATTTTTTTTTGGTATAATTATTGGGTTTAAATTTTTTTGTTTGATTTTTGTTAATATTACAAAGAATGTTTGATTTACGTTTTGAATTTTGGGTTGATTATTGTTAATTTCATTTCGGGTTTGATTTTTTTGTTGATTTTGGTTTGATAATTGTTTTATTTTTGATTTTGTGGTTTATTACTTTTATTAATTCGAATTTCCATGTGTTATTCATTCGAATTTTGCTGTTTTTTTTTTAATTTTCCGTTGAATTTTTGTTTGGATTTTTTTTTTCTGGGTTTGATTTTGTTCGTGTTTGGGTTAATTTTTGTTGGTTTGTTTGGTTTTTGTTATTTTTGGGTTACATTTTCGTTCATTTCAAATTGGTTAATTTTGTTTGATTTTTATGTTTGAATATTTCGTTCTTTTGGGTTTATGTTTGATTTTGTTTAATTTCAATTTGGTTTTTTTCTTGGGTTTGATTATATCTATGTTTTGGGCTGATTTTTGCTGGTAGAATTCGACCATATTTGATTTTTGCTGGTTTTTTTTGGGTTTCATTTTCGTGGTGGCTGGTTGGGATTGTCGAGGTGATTGGGTTGTGTTTTCGAGGTGTTTGGTTGATGGGTAAAGGTGTTTGGT